GCGGACCAGGATCCCAACGCCTTATTTGGCCTCGACGACTCGAACCTCGGCGTGCCCCCGTCGTTCCTCGACGACTCGGACGGCCAGAACGTCAAATCTGACCGAACTGGATCCAGCATCGCCAACGACAATCAGGTCTACTACGACGCAAACAATTGGTCCTTTCAAGACACACCCCCGTACGACTCCTACAACATCGCTGCCGTCACCACCGCCGCTGGCGCCACTCCTCTCTTCCAGACTGCCGCTCCGTGGGATTTCTCTCCGAATAACCAACACCATCAACACGGCCCTCCCGCCGTCACTTCCGGTCTTGATCACTCGACTCTCGCTCAGGTTGGCTTCTATGCCGCTCCCCCTCCCGCCCCCAACAACCAGCAATCCCATCGAGGAGGCCAACCACACACCCTCCCGCAAGAGACCCTGAGTACCCTGACTCCCGCCCAGCAGGAAAAGCTCAGAAATATCGCCATGCCCGCCCATCTTCAGTATCAATCTCCCAAGAGCGAGCCGAGCCCCGGATCCGCCACCAGCGACCACAAGGCAGCAGGACTGTCGTCTCCCGATGCCCACGACTCCAGCAAGGCCAGCAGGAAGCGCAAGTCTTCGGCTGATGTCGACGACGATGAGGAGGAGGATGAGGATGGTCAGCCTATCAAGAAGACGGCCCATAACATGATTGAGAAGAGGTATCGCACTAATCTCAATGATAAGATTGCCGCGCTCCGAGATAGCGTTCCTAGTCTGAGGATCATGTCCAAGAGTGCCAGGGGAGAAGACACGACCGAAGATCGCGAGGAACTTCACGGCTTGACGCCAGCCCACAAGCTCAACAAGGCTACAGTAAGTCGAAAAGACGAAGTGTTCTGAAGAGACATTTGACTGACAATCGCAGGTCTTGAGCAAAGCCACCGAGTACATCCGCCATTTGGAGAAGAGGAATAACCGTCTCTGCGACGAGAACCATGCTATGCAGAATAGAATCGCCGCCTTTGAGAAGCTTTTCATGGCTGGTGCGATGAATGGCGCGATGAGCCCTCTCCAGCAACCGCCGACTCCTATGCAGTACCCTCAGGATCAGTACATGAGCACCCCTATCGGAACGCCGCGTGGCGAGTCTGCACAAGGCATGATTCCTGTGCCCGACGACATGAAGCGTATTATTTCTGCTCAAATGGCGGCTGGTCAGCCATACCCCATGCCGCAGCAAAATTACCGCGGAAACCCCAACGTCATGCGACAACAACAAATCCAGCAACAGCAGCAGCAGCAACAGATGCAGCAACAAGGACGATGGGGCAACAGCAGTCAGTACTTCGGCAAGTTGATGGTTGGCTCGCTGGCCGGCCTCATGATTGTCGAGGCTGTGCGAGAGAACGAGCAGAGCAACGACACGCCCGAAGGCCGCGGTCTCTTCGCCCTGCCCATCCAACTGCTCAGCTATCTCGGATCGACTTCTCACATGCACATTGGCGGCTACTACATCTCTCCCGCTCAGATCATCTCGCATCTGAAACTTCTGTTTTTCCTTGGCACTTGCTTGTGGGTCTTCGTGCCCTCGCTCTTCGTACCATCTGAGAAGAAGCCCAAGAAGGCGCAACGTCTTCGGGAGTCGCTTCAGGCCGCTGGTTCCGTTGCATCCCCGATTCACGTCCGTCGCCAAGCGTGGTTGACTGCTATTCAGACCGTCTGGGTTCCCCAGCACAACTTCTTCCTCGAAGCTGCCGCTCTGATCATGAAGACGATGAAGCTGAGCATGCGCAACGCTATCGGTGTCCACGGCTACCAGATGCTCACTGGTCTCACTGAAGAGCAGGAGGCTGCTCGTGTCAAGGCTTGGTCAATTGCATTGGATGCCCAGCTCGCAGGAGGCGATGTTGAGATCAACAAGAGTCGTCTGACCCTTACCCTTCTGGCATCAGGCACCCTTCCCGATACCCCTTCCCGTCTAATGCTCAAGGCTCTTCACGTCCGTGTTCTTCTCTGGGATCTTGGTGCCAAGGGACTTCATAACATTGTCGCCAAGAAGGTCGCCCGCTCTCTCTGGAATGAGGCGAGAAACCAGAACCGTGTTCTTTCGCAGCTGCGCCGTAACTCTGAGCAGGTCGACGATGATCTCCCCGAGCACCTGGCCGCCCTTATCGAGCAAGAATGCGACGACGTCCTCAACAACAGCGTTGTCCAGCGAGCCTACAACCTGGCATGGAACCTATCGACTACCGAAGGAGTTACCGAGCACAACGACGGAATGGACACCGTTGTCGACGACCAGGCTGTTCGATCCCCACTGGATGCTGTTGCTGCCTGGTGGTCGAGCCAGACCATCCAGCGTGCCTTGATCACCAGTCTCGAGGCAAGCAAGGACGATGGTGATGCGCCGAGGGTAGTGTCAACCTGCTTGACTACCGCCCTCAAGACTTCTCCTATCGGCTCAGGTGTGCAGGCGCGCGCTCTGGTGGCCCGCGCCGTGCTCGTTGATGAGAAGCGAGGAGCCAACATTGCCGCTGCCCTCCAGAACATTAAGCCGACCAGCGAGCAAAAGTCCCTCAGCAAGATTGCCGCCATTATCGACTCGTCGTCTACCGCCCAATCGCCCGATGTCCAGATGGCGCTCGACTGTGCCATGGCCATTGCCCACCTCCAACGTGCCAAGCTGGCGGCTACCCCATCGCAAAAGGGGTTCGGAATCATCGAGAAGATTGCCCGCCCTAGCGCTACCGCCAACATGTCTCTCCTTGGATGCACCGCTCTCTTCAAGCTCATGGAAGAACTATATGCACAACAGTCATCTTCTGACAACTTTAGTACATCTCTTGAGCGCGTCGCCGGTAGTCTCCGTATCTGGATTGGCAGCGCTCCTGGCGAAAAGTGTGGCCTGGAGCAGGACGTCCGCCACAAGATGGTGGACCGATGCCTCAGCATCACCAAGAGCGTTGTCGGTATGGAGACTGATACGGGCTACGGTAGTATGAGCGAGTGTGAAGAAGATGGGTGTTGACGGAGGTGTATGTTTTGTGGTATATCAAGAGGCGGTATCTCCCCTTATTTACATACTAGAACCATCTTATTTCCTTTATATCGTTGTACTCTCTATGGATAGGGCATGGGGCTCGGCGTCACTATTTGGGAGGACGTACGTCTTGGACTGGCGTTTATTTTGCAAGGGAAGCAACGAGACTTACGGCTGGAAAAGGACGGAACCAGCGGATTTTGCATGAGCAGAGACGGGACGTCGCATTTGACTGACATTGAACTCTCACGCGGACTGTCACGGAATGGGACAGGAGAAGGAGACGGACGGTACGGTCTGGGGATATATACAAGTCGGCTCAAAAAGTTGCGATGGAAAACTTTCTCTTTCTCTGTAATACGCGGGCCATGGGGTCTGCCATTATGTAGAATCAATATCGACGATGTGTTCGTTGCATTCAATCCTGATGCTTTATCTGGAGTTTGTTCGTGGGTGACGTTGAGGTGCAGCGGGGTGATGGAGGGCATACTGGAACTTTGCCCCGTTCCAGTCAGCTGTCTCCGTGAGGGTTGCAACGAGGGGCATGTCACTCCGTCATGGAGGGCATAAGCGACTTTCCTCTTTCAACATGGGCGGGCTGTCACTACACTCTGCTCAAGTCATTGAGGATCGAGATGAAAAGGGGGATTTGACGAGAAGATGAAAGGAAAGCATGCGATGTCTGGTGGTTTTTGGAGACGACGCTGACGTTGATGGTGTTTTCTAGGACCTAATGGAAAGACTTTGGATGGGACTGGGCAGTGTTTAAGAGGAGACGCTGGGGAGAGGGCAAGGACTCGAAGAGAGATACATCATACGGTTAGGGATGAGATGGGCCGAATTGGATGGAGAATCGGTATTGAGCAAGTACTCTTTCTGCATTCGCACACCTGGGAGCAAGGGAAATGGAAAGGCCAAGTACATCTAATTGCTGCAAGTTTATCGGTGTCTCTCGGTGCAGGCAGTCGAGGAGATGAACCCGCTTTTTGCTCCCTTGGGCCCACGGCAAGGGCCCTGGGCTTCAGGTGATCGTGGGTACTTGAGGTACGTCTCCACCTTTCAAAGGTGCATGAGACCAGGACCCCCTAACCCGGCCAAAGATACTGGCACGTTAAACACGACAACAACACACTGCATAGGATGGACCTTGGCACCCACCACACACCACACACCTCAAGCATTCAACAAGGGACGGATAGCTAAGGCAGGGAGATGGGTAGTCGCACAGTTCGAGCTGCACTAAACACACTAGAGACTGCTAGCAGCAACGGTCACTAGACTTATCGGATCCGAACCGTCAAACCCAACGTCCGTCCGTCCTTTTCCTTGTCCCGCCCGGCACATGATCGCCTGAATGGGAACGGCGACAGGGCCTTTTGCCAGGTCATCGAGAGAGGTTGCAGCAATGGCCTGCTAGAACGGGTCTCGAGTGCCGCCCGACATGTGAGTTGTTATCGGTCCCTTGAAGAATTGGTTCGCAAAGCGCATATCTGACTCCCATGTCTATCAGTCTATCTACAAAACCATGCGGCGATTAGCGCTAATATTGGACTGCCGAGTCATCCCTCGCTTCTGATGCATCTCGATATCAAAGCTGCCTTATCATCCAAACTCTAGCATGCCCTGAGGCTGAGTTCGACGGCCAAGCCCAAGGCCCTGAAAAGTGTCAAAGCCGGGGAAATGTCTTGGAGGCGGGTGCTTAGTCTTGTTGTTTGCCACGAGCTGGACGCTTGTTCGAGCGAAGCATCTGCGAACATCCTCGACAACCTAGCTCGTGCTTCTCATCCTCCCTCTCAGCATCAAATCGGAACCCATCCTGCCGAGGGGAATACGCCCTCCCTCGCGGTCATCGCCCTCCAAAACTCCAAAAAGCTAGCATTGGCCTGCCCAATGGCGATAGCAACTGACCCCAAATTGCAACTCCCCGCACCCTGATGGCAACCACACCATAATCTCCAAGTCCAATCAGATATCGACATCACCGGGCGCCATGTGACGCAAGATTGCATCTGGCAAGGGCAAATGCTCATCTCTCAGACTGGCTCGTCACTTTTCTGAGAGACGCGAGAGTTGACCGCTTGCTACCTCGCGTGCCTCGCTCCCTTCACTGGGCCCCTCAGGCCTTCTCTTGCCCTCTCTGGTCTCTCTAGCTCGCTGCTCTGCCCTGATTTTCCATTGAGAATCGAGTATCGATGCCCCCCTAGCCTCCTCACTTGGGAATACCACCTGCCAGCTAATTAATGTTGCGCAGCCCATCAGGAGACACGGACAAATCATCGCGTCCGAACCATCGGCATACTTTCCCCTTCCCGTAAAACCGGCATTATGATAGCCAGGTACCCGTCCTGTTTGTTAGTCAGGAGCTCGGCTAGCTCACAGGAGCTCCAAATAACATGGAGGGGAAGACGATGTCCACGAGCCATGAGCTCGCCGAGGCGGGCCATAAAAGAGCGGGTGACACGCCCTGTTTGCCCGCAGTTCTCGAGCTCGGAAGCTTGAGTTCACAGACTGATTGCCAACGATGCCTCGTCACTCTCGTTCTGGCCTTGAGATGTCTAGACGTTCGTTCTTCGCCGTCTTTGCTTTGATCTCGTTCGTGCTGCTCGTCACCATCAGTCTCTCCCAGCTAGGAACTCGACAAGGTGCCACCCTCAAGTTTGAACGCAATGCCGACGGAGAGTGGCATGCCAAACCCAAGACGCGTGCCGCGGCGGGCGACAAGTACCTCCTTGGTGTTGGCAAGGCTGACATCACTGGTCCTGTCGTCGAAGTTGGCTTTGCAGGGTACGCTGATCTGAGCCAGGTCGGAACCGGTTTGAGACAGCGGATCTACAGCCGTGCTTTCATTGTCGGGGATGTGAGCAAGCCGAGCGATCGGTTCGTTTATCTTGTGCTTGATACTCAGAGTGGTGACACCGCCGTTCGCAAGGGCATTCTCGAGGGCGTTGCAGCTCTTGGATCGGGATACAGCGTGTATAACAAGAACAATGTTGCCGTGACAGGCACTCATAGCCACGCTGGCCCAGGAGCTTGGTTCAACTACCTCCTGCCGCAGGTCACCAGCTTGGGTTTTGACAAGCAGAGCTACCAGGCTATTGTTGACGGTGCAGTTCTGTCCATTAAGAGGGCGCACGAGTCTCTGCAAGAGGTACGTTGTTTATCTTCGAGAGATTCGCCTTTTGACTAACACTCCTAGGGGTACCTCGATGTCGGAACCACCGAAGTAACCGACGGCGCCATCAACCGCAGCTTATATGCCTACCTCAACAACCCCGCGGCAGAGAGGGCCAAGTACAGCGCTACTACCGACACGACCCTGACCCTCCTCCGCTTCCAGCGCGCCTCTGATGGCAAGAACATGGGCGTCCTCACCTGGTACCCAACCCACGGCACCTCGATCCTCCAGAACAGCACGCACGTAGCGGGCGACAACAAGGGTGTCGCGGCGTACCTTCTCGAGAAGGACCTCGCGAGTGACGCGAGCGCTGCACCTGGCTTCGTAGCCGGCTTCAGCCAGGCCAATGTCGGTGATACCACGCCCAACGTACTCGGCGCCTACTGCGATGATGGTTCCGGCCAGCAGTGTAGTCTGGAGAACAGCACCTGCGCCGACGGTAAGAGCCAGTCGTGCCATGGCAGGGGCCCCGCGTTCCAAAAGTTGGATCTTGGTATTTCGAGCTGCTACGAGATTGGACGTCGTCAATATGCCGGTGCCAAGTCTGTCTATGTAAGTTGTCATCCTGATGCGGGATCCAACATAGCTGATCAATCCTCCCTGTCAGAATGCCCTTGCTACGACTTCCACTCCTGTCACTGGCACCAGCGTCAAGTCCTCCCACTTCTTCCAAGACATGTCATATTTCAAGTTTCCTCTCGCAGACGGCACCACCGGCCAGACATGCCCTGCCGCCCTCGGCTACTCCTTTGCCGCGGGAACCTCAGATGGCCCCGGCGCCTTCGATTTCACACAGGCCGACTCTGGCACCCCCGATGCTAATCCTCTCTGGGCAGTCGTCTCCGGTCTTCTCAGGACGCCCAGCGCTGAGCAGGCTGCTTGTCAACAGCCGAAGCCTGTGTTGCTAGATGTTGGTGAGATGAGCACCCCGTATGCTTGGAGCCCCAATATTGTAGATATTCAGATGCTTCGTGTTGGACAGCTGGTCATCGTCGTTGCGCCTGGTGAGGCTACAACGATGAGTGGGCGGAGATGGAAGGCTGCAGTCAAGGAGGCCGCAAAGAGTATCCTTCCTAATGATCCTGTTGTTGTCCTCGGTGGTCCCGCCAATACCTATGCCGTAAGTTTTGCTAGCTTCTTTCTCTTGATAATCACTGACAATTTCCAGCACTACATTGCGACCCCCGAAGAGTACGCCATCCAGCGGTACGAAGGCGCATCAACCCTCTTCGGACCCAATACTCTCCCAGCCTACATCAACCTCACCGTCTCCAACATCGCCTACCTCTCCCCCTCCTCCACATCCACACCCCCAGCAGGCCCTTCGCCCCCAGACAATCGCGCCAACTCCCTCTCCTTCATCACTGGCGTTGTAGTAGACGGTGCGCCAGCAGGCCGCTCCTTCGGACAGGCCATCGGGCAGCCTTCGGCGTCGTATACTCGCGGCGCGGTAGTCAACGCCACGTTCCAAGCCGCGAACCCGCGAAATAACCTCAGGCTTGAGGAGACGTATGCCGCGGTTGAGCAGTTGCAAAGCGGTAAATGGGTGCAGATTAGGACCGACGCGGACTGGTTCCTTGTGTATACTTGGACGAGGACGAACTTCTTGCTTGGGTATAGTGAGGTTGTGATTAGTTGGGAGACTGGAACCAGTGATGGGGCTGGGCCGGGGACGTATCGGATCAAGTACTTTGGTGATTCGAAGCCGCTGATTGGGACCATCTCGGCTTTTGAGGGAACAAGTGGGAATTTCACTTTGGTTTAGGGGAGGGTAAGGGGGGCTGCTGATGATTATGGATTATGAGAGCTGGCTGGCTTCCGTAGTGATGAATCGTAATGTCTTTTTCTCACGGATGCTTACTGCCCCATTTCTTCCAAGTTGAAGCTGACTCTTGCCAACGCTCGTTGGACAGCCCGCCCGTCTTGCATAATGATGCAGTCACCTCCAGGAACGTACTCAGTTGTACATGCGGCCTGTCATCACTCGGCCTGCCTGCAGTTGGAACCACGAGGGCTCCTCAAGGTTAGGTACATAACCATCTCCCACCCCTTCGCCCGATTTCGTCCAACGGGCTACACTCTCCATCAGCATCCACATCACAGCCTGATTGCAAGCGTTTCTTTTCCGTGAGTCCACTGCCGGTTTTGTTTTCTGAGGAAACGAACTGATGGTTTTACCAGGAACTGGACCAATCCAAATCCACATAAGCAGCCTAACATGGATTCCGAAGAGTCTGAAGAATCTTACTCCTCGATAAACGATAACCTCTGTGACGAGTGCTATGATGCTGTTATTTTTCACGACGGCGGCGACGAATTCTACGAGGGTACGAACCGTGATGATGAGCCTACCCTGCGACATTCCGAGGAGGGAGGCGATATCATCGATCTGGATTCTGTGCGCCGTTGGAATGACACGCTACCCGACTTGCCCATGATGACCGAATCCGCTGCTGCTGGGTGCCGCATGTGTGGTTTCCTTCGGGAAGAGCTCCTACGACAGAAAATATGCCACATTGGCGAGACCTATATCGAGGCGGGATATCTCTTTGGTGGACAGGGATATGAGTTTGAGATCATCGACACAGATCCTGGCTTGGCCTTTTGGAGATGCGAGGTCTACGGGGTTAAAAAAACGACCTATAATCCGGACGGGTTCAAGAGCATTACATCTCTTACTTTTGATATTGAGTCATGCGACAGTGAGTCCATTCTCCTTTCCTACCATTAATGGACTCTGACATGCATGTGAAAGAGGATTTGCACCAATGGCTGAGGGTGCACACGAAGCCCGCCCCCGGACCATTGGATCCAGCCAGTGTTGAATGGGTCCAGTCACAGCTCCAGCGATGCGACTATCACTGTGACCATGGAAAGCCAGAGTTGCCATTCATACCCACCAGACTGATATATGTCGGTCAGAATGAGGATGACGCACCTCGACTTGTCATCGTTGAAAACATGCTCGACTCTGGTATGATCGATGCCCTCGAGTATGCAACACTAAGCTATTGCTGGGGATCCAAAGAAGACGCTCTCCAGCAGGTCACAACTACAAACGAAACGATATTGACCAACTGTCAAGGGATACCGCTTGGCTCCTTAAGTCCTGTCGTACGGGACACCATCAAGGTCTGCAGGGCGATCGGTATATCATACCTCTGGGTTGATGCTTTGTGTATCATTCAAGGAGACAATGTAGACTGGGACCGAGAGAGTCAGATGATGGGACAGATCTACCATTCTTGTTATGTGACCATCTGCCCTCTCTCCTCAAGATCTTGTCTCGAAGGCTATCTCGGATCAAGGCCGCAGGGTTTTGAAGTTGAATTTCAATCATCGCGCCACGAAAATATCAGAGGCACCTACAGACTTGTTCACTCTTCTACAGGCCTTGATGAATATGATGCACTAGAAAGACCAGCACTTCACAGGGACCTCGAACGATCCTCTTGGAATAACAGGGGCTGGACCTTCCAAGAGAGTCTACTTTCACCTCGCATTATCTATTTCGGGTCACACATGAGCCATTTTGTCTGCGAAGACGTAGTAACATCTGAAAACGGAGATATGGACCGCAATTTCATCCATGGTCGACTGCAAATCACGGTTCGGAGAGCTCTTGGAAAACCTCACATGGAGCTGGATTGCATAGCGAATATCAACACAAATGTTTACAGCTGCTGGGAATCTGTGCACAAGGTCCAGAGAAGAGCCTGGACATGTCACGAGGACATCTTCCCGGGACTTGCCGGTATCGCTCAGGCATTCGCAACACTTACAAGCGACACATATCTGGCAGGCTTGTGGAAAAATGATCTACACCATCAGCTGGTTTGGCACATGCCACGACCACCAGCTGGTGAATTGGCCTCAGTTGTGCATGGCTTGCAGCACGCAGATCCGTACATAGCACCATCATGGAGCTGGGCTTCACGAACAGCGTACCAGGAGAGCTTGATTATAAGAGAAATCAGTATAGATAATAATGAGGTGGTGAAAGGAAATTTGGTACGCTCTAACAAGTCAATACCTTGTCAAACCAGGTTCGACCTTGCGTTGATAGACTACCGCATGGATCTCCGAGACAAAAATTGCTTTGGAGCGCTTACTGGAGGCTTTCTTCGATTAAAGGGTAGGATATGCCCGTTTCCTTCAGACGTCAGAAAGGGGCTGAAACCCCACGGTGACAGTCGCCGATTGTACGGTCAGTTTTCAGGCGGCATCGGAGCTTGCATGCTTGATTGGAACGTCAACGAAACCTTGGTACAAGCGCCAGAGAGTATGCGATTATTATTGGTATCGAGCTGCTGCTCGGCAACAGTGAGCTGGAAAAACCTAAAGTTCAGGGCGAATTGTGACGATGAAGACTTTGACGACTGGATGCCAAGCGAAGCAGAGGTTGGCGGCACGTCGTTTCCTAACGGCTACGAGGACATCGATGTGTGCCGATACTGCGCGGATCCAATGCACAAGCGTACTGGATATGGCCTTGTGATCCATCCTGCGGAGGAGCCTGGATCGTATGTGAGGGTTGGAGTCTTTGTGATGTTTGCACATAAAGGGGGCATGTATCTCTTCAAGGATGAGGCGGAGGAGATAAAACTCATTTAGCTTGATATCTTCCTCCGTACCTATTCTTTGGAACATGCTGTCAAGACATCTTCTAGGCTAGGAAATTTTTCTTGGATACGAAGATGTCACAGATTCCCCAGGCAAGAGTCTGGCTTCGTTGCGAGAAGCTTGTTGATTGACCTTCCCATTTTCTCGGAGGACATCAATAAGGCGATGTCAAAGTCTGCGCGATCCTGTTATCTTACTAAAATATCTGAATACCTTGGCTTGATTTGATCACCTTGCCACAGAACCCGCGTCACAGAGATGATCGGATGATTGGACAAATAATCACCCACAGGCTGACGATCAAGGTTGATGAATTAAATATCATGTAATTCCTTTGGCGGTCAAGTCTTGAATCGCCAGTCCCGTCCTAGGGACTTGAACGATTGACTTATTCCTTCGAACGCTGAGCGAATCGACAGAGCCATTGTAAGATTCTTCCAACTGTGTGTGAAAGAAATCCCAGCTCTCGTTATCCCCTTGATACGCACACTCAACCTCTCCTCACTTTTCTCTCTTTCTCTCTTTACTCTTTCCTCCTCATCTCTCGAGCACCCGTACAAACAATCCTGGGACTTACCGAGAGAGACACAGCCTGGGGCCTTAACGAGCATACTTAAGTAGTCTTTAAAGTTGCGAGCGGCCGCATGGCTTCCTAAGTCAGTACACTCCCCTACCTCATGGATCGCGCGGCACGCTGGCATTTCAACCAGAGTCAGCTATATTCAGCTTCTCACAGCCTGCCTAGCTAGCATCCTCGTGCCGCCAGCCCTGTCTTGCCTGGAAGATGCTTGCTTTTTGAGTGAAAGTACGCTAAGGTATCTGCGGCGAAGACCGAGATCGGCAGGTATGCTACAAGTAGGGGGCTTCGGGGCCCGGTCAAAGTCGATTGCACGCGCGCTTTTCAACGTTGCAACGCGTGAACCCACTCCTGGGCCCTTGCTCGGCACGTCGCATACGGATAGACTAGAAAAGAGCTAGAAAGAAGTTCCTACACTACGAAAGCTTAACGTTCTCGAGTACTGGAAACCACAATCGTTGCTATTACATATGGTCGGCGGCAGGCAGACTCACATCGAACATCGAAGAGTGGCTTGTGTTTGTCTTGCACTTCAGCCGTACTGACGCAGTTGCCTCAGATGGTGTTAGCTATCTCTCAAAGGGGCCGAGGGTTGAGACAATCTGCAGGCTTTGGGAAAATGCCCCGTGCTTTCGTGGAAAATGACCCTCGACAGGACCACCAACAGAAGAGTCTGCCTGGTGAGTGACGCCTAAGACACAGCCAACTCGGAACTATCTCGACTTTCAAGCCATGGAGGATGCATGTTGTTCTTCGTTGATAAACATAATGGATACGGATAGCGTGTGAGCCAGCATACTATGCACGTGGCGTGGAGACCCTGGCCGATTGAAGACGGGAATATCTGCCCCCCTTGCTGTAAGGAGAAGTGGTCGGCCATGTTTCAGTCACGAGGCTGATGAAGAGTAAGTCTTGTTCGAGAATTTACTTATGACCTGAGAGCCCCCAGTGAATTTGCTCCTAATTTGATGCTTCTTCTCCCTCTCTGACGCTCTCCGCGGACTAGGTATCGAGTTCACCGCCCCGAAACCCAGCCCCTGTCCAATCTCTACTTGTAACCAAGGTTCAAACCTTATTCCCGCTGACAGGTCCCTCCCGGCGGTAAGCCAGGCACCGCCGAACGAACGGAAACATGCGGGCCTCCTTCGAAGATAATGCCTATCGGTACCTGATCTACAGCCTGCTTCTGCTGCTCGGCAGCTTTCGCCAAGCGCACGCTACGTATTACCTCAACCAGGCCGACGGGTACGATTCACTGCCGTCATGTGCCGAGCAGCCCATCAGCTCTATTGTCCGAGACATGGTGGCGGGGTGCGGTGACGGCGGGAAGACGACGTCGTATAGCTGCTTCTGCACGGCGAGCTCCGACAGGTTTAGAGAGATAATTGCGACGTCGGTCGCGAAAAATTGCGGGCGGTCTGGGGTCGAGGTTGAGAGTGCGACGAGCGTGTTTGATGCATATTGTCAGATGGAAAAGACTGACAAAGTCACTACTTGTGAGTGTTGCCTAGGGTCGATCATCGATTTGGTGTGGATCCATGCTGATATGAAGGCATTGGAAGCTGCGACGGAATTGACCTCGACATCCGCAACTGGAACGGCATCTGCGGCGGACACCGCGTCCGCCTCACCAGTAAGCTCTGGTGGCCTCACGAGCGTTGCGTCACCGACGTCGTCTTCGTCACCGGCTGCGTCAAACCCTAATAATTCTGGCATATCCACAGGTGCGATTGTTGCTGTGAGCGCTTGTACTTCTCTCGTGGCTATTGCCCTGTGTGCTGCGGCCTTCTTCTTGTGGCGCCGGCGACATAAGCGCTTGCGGCCGGGCCAAGATGCACAGGGACATGTTTATGAAGTCAATCATCCGGGCGAATTGGACGGCAGTCAAATGACAACCCATGGTGCGGAAGAGTACTATGCCAAGCCGGAGCTGGAAGCGAGGAGTGCTGTGAGGGAGATGCATGTTGAGCCAAAAGCTAGGAGGCATCAGTTGGCTGAGCTGCAGTAAGCTGCATGTGTTGATGTTTGGTGCTTGAGTGAATAAATGTTCCAAGTGAGTAAAACCAATGCAACTACACTTAATTATTTGAAGCATACCCGAGTAGACTCGAGCAAAAATTACACATGTGGTATTGTAAAATTCACTTGGTGCGTTAAATTTGGTCCGTTAGGCTCAGGGCCAAGTCCAGACAAGGGAGCTTTGAAGACATTATTACATTATTAGACAAGCTATTCTACAATCACTCTTACGTGATTAGACAGCGAACCCACCCGAGTTCTTCTGTCTCGGCTCGCCAGCTGCCTCGAACGTGCCGTTCGGCAGCAGCCTCACACCCTGCGCTGTGCTACCGCCGGGTGCAACCCAGGTGACGTTCGTGCCCAAGCTCGCAAGGTAGCTCGTGGTGCTGTTGTCGTAAGCGTACTCGAAAGCAGCCGTGTTGGGCTCCAGCTGGTCGTGGAAGCGAGGCTCGGCGAGGGCTTGCGTCACGGTCAGGTTCCTGTCGAGGACGTTGTGGATGTTCTGGATGGTGGCGGTGATGATGCGGCTACCGCCGGCTGAGCCGATGACGAAGTAGAGCTTGCCGTCAGGGTGCTCGACAATGACGGGGGAGATGGAGGAGAGGGGACGCTTGCCGGGACGGATGTAGTTGGCCGGGCTGGGGATGAAGCCGAAGGCGTTGCTGGAGCCCGGGGTGCTGAAGTCGTCCATCTCGTCGTTCATGATGACGCCCGTCTCGGGGACCATGAGCTGGGAGCCGAAGAGGAGGTTGACAGTCGTGGTGAGGGAGATGGCCATGCCGCTGGCGTCGGCGACGGCGATGTGCGAGGTTCCTGGGGTCTCGAGGGACTCGATGCCCTCCGGGTTGTAGTAGGACACGTTTTCTGTGCGGAAGTCGAAGATCTTGGAGCGGATTTCGGCGCCGACCTCCGGGGAGATCATGCTCTTGGTGTAGGCCGAAAGACCGTCGACAAAGGACGGGTCGCCGAGCTTGGTGCGCTGGCCGTAGGCAAAGCGCATGGACTCGTCCAGTCTGTGAACGGTGTTGTTCCGCGAGGCCGGGTCGCCGAACCCTTCATATCCGCTGACGATGTTGAGGGCGCTGAGGGCGACGATACCGCCGGAGGGGGCGTTGCAGGCCGTGAGCTTGTAACCCCTGTACGAGATCTGCGCGGGCTCTCTGATGGCGACGGTGTAGTTCTTGAGGTCCGCCATGGTCATGGTGCCGTTGGACTTTGTCAGAGCGGCAATGGTCGCGTTGGCGATGGCGCCAGTGTAGAAGGCGTCGGCGCCCTCCTGTGCGATGACCTCAAGGGTGTCGGCGTAACGCTTGCGCGTGATCGTCTCATTGAGCTTGAGGAGGGTGCCGTGCGGCGCAAAGTCGATGGCCCATGACGGATCATCGGTCAGGAAGTTGCCGTTGGGGGTGACTGACTTCATGTATCTGACCAAATCCTCATTCACGCGCCAGCCGTAGCGGGCGACCTTGATCGCAGGTTCAACTACCTTTGACCAAGGCAGCTTGCCGTACTTCTTGTGCAGATGCTCTAGGCCGCGGAGCTCACCAGGGACACCGCTGAGAAAATTGCCATGTCAGTCTTGGTGTCACTTGCTTGCGCTGGCGCAGGGAAGCAGCTTACCTAGCGAGACCTCCGTATAAGCTGGCTCTTGTGTTGTTCGTGTACATGTTCTCGTAGGCGGCGGCCGGGGCCGTCTCTCTGAAGTCAATGAACTCGTAGGTGCCATTGCTCGACCTCACGAGCATGAAGCCACCGCCGCCAATGCCGCTGTGGTACATGCCAACGACACCGACACAAAGTACGGTGCCAACCGTCGCGTCGGCAGCATTTCCGCCCTTCTTGAGGAGCTCGGTGCCGATCTTGCTGCAGATGTCGGACTCTGAGGCGACGGCACCCAGCTTCGGGATCGTGCTGTGGCTCGGGGCCGCGAGGGCGGGCTGGGTGGTGATGCCGAGCAGGAGCTGCGCGAGGGCAGCGGAAGTCAGGGAGAACTTCATGATGAGCCGGCTGGGGAGGTTGAGCAAGCTTCACAAGGTGTCTCGTCTAATTCACAGCTCGTTGAGAGGGAACAGCAGGGTGTACCTGGTGGTCCTAAGGGGAAGCAAGCGGCAGTATTGGAACCAAGAACGGCCTGGCAGAACCGAGAGAAACTGGATGCCATTAAGGTAGCCATGAGAAGAAGCTGCCAACGTTTAATATGAACGGAAAGCTTCACACTCAATGGTGCAATCGAGCAGACTCGCCGACTTCGCCCACAAACCGAGGAGATTATGGACCCGACAGGTTGGGGGGGAACGTGGAAAAGGCTCATAGCTTCATTTCGGTAGCCTGCAGATCACCAACGGCAGCCGCTGTACCCTATCGCAATCGTTGGTAATGTCAGATGTGCCCCGTTTCCGTAGATAGGGAAAACCCGATTGCGGAATTGAAAGATGCTTTTGTCAAATCGTCCCACGTTCTACCTAGGTTCCCCGCGTGTGTGCCTATCCGCCTCGCCGTTCAGCAGCAGGGCCCGGCCTGGTTCGTGACGTCGAGCTTCAGAGTTCGGTGAGCTACCTAGGTGTTACTGCAAAGCATCAGCAACCTCTGGAGTCCTGGACTCAGTACCTAGCCACTAGTGCGGGCAGTCTGCAGGAAACCTGCATGGAAGCCAACATAGAGCCAAGAAACAGCGAGTCAAGTGCGTGAGTGGCTGGGATTCGGCGTGAAAACCGTAAGCCAAAACTGTCAGTATCCAAATCTTCATTGGTTATCTGAGGGGGAAGACCGAGAGAGGGAAATGTTTTGGAGAAATATCGAGCGAAATGCCGGGAAAAATCCACTCCGCAAACAATCGGGCGGGGTTCACCTGAATTCTCCTGCCTATTCCGGATAGCTCGCGGCAACCCCGGTATCGCCGGGGGAGGCATCCCCGGTTCACCATGGGTCGGATGAGACAGGTACGCGGCGCGCCAAGATAACAGAGCTTGCGATTTATCATTGCTTGAGCTGTCAAGTTGTTGATAGCACGCGCGGTTCCATAGATAAACTACTATATTTCGATTGTTGTCATGTCATATACTCTAGTATCTTAAATAACACTTATCTAGTATGTGTTCCTTATAGAATGATCAAACCAATGACTTCGCTATACTCAACTTTCTAGCAAATGCCATTCTTGAATAGCAGGCTAACAAACAATTCAACACCCCATTAACCTCACAGCTCAAGCTTTTGAGATTGAGTTTGAATGTTTTCATCGCTTTCACAGTAATACAAGCTAGATTTAACTTAATCTGAACCATGGTTTACCGCCATTACTGTTTGCAATCGTGATACCGATGCAGGTGAACGGACTCCACACAAGTCCCGAGAAACCCGAATTTGAACTTTACCAAGAATCTAGTAACCATCAGTCGCACGTGTGTAACGAAACTACGCGGCCGCAATTGTAAAATTGTCTCTAAACATTCTGGTAGAGTAGGTCGCTCTGCAAACAAACTTTAGTGACATGCTCCTCTGGCTGGTCGAGCGGCCCAGTGCGCCCTCATCCTACGAGCTCACATCCCAGCACTCTGTGGTTCTACCACCCAATACCACTGGTGACCACAAGCTTTCCGAACTTGGGATGATGACAGGGCAGTTATGCTCACCCACATGGAGACATTATCCGCTTAATTTGACCTAAAGGAGGCCCCCGAATTGCCCTAAATGAGTATATTGGGAAAGTGGAAGAGGTTCTGACTTTAGAGATTGTATGACGATTAGATGATTTGAAAATAGCACATGGCTAAATGAGACTTGATGATTCACTTTGCAGTAAGGGCATGAGCATTATCTGCAATGTGCTCTGGGCGTGATTGTGGGGGGAGTTAAGGTTAGGTCCGCATATTAATTGCCTCCCACCGGACCCATTTGGAAGCTGTTGGCTAGCACGTCAAACCAGGATGAGGTCGCGTAAGAGAAAATACAGGTATTGCTTCGCTTAAAGCTCTCAAGTCAGATCAGACCATTATCGAGTTGATTATTTGAGAAGAGTCTTTGGTAAGGATTACGTATCGGAATCGGAGAAGCTCGTCGTGGAAGCTATGTTTCCTTGTCGGCCAGACTTGCAGATCCTGATCATTTCGCCTTCGCGTATCCATGGACTTCTCAGTATGGGTCTCGAGATCCTTAGGGTGCTCTTTGGGCCTCCCTGAGACTTGAACTAAAGCCAGTCTTTGAACGTAAATCGACTCTCTTCTATACCAATTGTTGAAGCATTGGGTGCCGTCGAAGTTGCAACGTGTTGAGAAGCAGAGTGATGTTCGAGTTGGTTTTGACATTGACTATTACTCGGCACTTAGTAGCTTAGTTTGTCGGGAGTCTTTGCTAGTACTAACAGTGACAAAGATATAACGAGACGAGACGAAACTGATTGTCATCGAACCAGGATACCCTACATCAAAGGAGCATATTGCAGGTGACGGGTTTACGGGTACAATCACAAGTCAGAAATTCTTCTACAAGACTACAAAGGCACTCTGATGACTTTGCAACTTAGACCGATGTATGCTACGGAGATATTGCAGCGAATCTAGGTCAGTGGGACTTACGAGCTATCGGGAACTTCGACATATACCAGTAATCACTATATTCAAAGGCAAACTCCAGTGGACAACCCATGTGCTTTGAAGGTCCTTCGTTTGGTGTCTACATATTTCGGGAAAAATTATGTTTGCTCCGTTGAGTTTATTCCAAAAGCTCGTTGAAGGACTAGATATATTGCACGAAATGAATGTCCATACTGAAGTGCATCTCTCGGGGCCAAGTCAGAATCTAATTGCCGAATTGATGGACTTTCAGAACCGACAGCAGCATCACGACGATGATGGGAGCGTACGGTCTTCTCTCGATATGTGGTGCCGACAGCTCCCGAGCCTGGAACTTCCACTACGACTTCGGGCATCCTCACACACCGTAATGTTAAATGACATGCTTTCCTTCTGTTACATGTATGGATACACCGTGCATAGAGACGTAACAAATGACTGATTGGTAGAAGTCAACCATGCAGAGGACTTGAGAACATTGTGCACAGTAGGTGTGACCCATGATGGCGGTGAAGCACGCTTGTGATATGTCGTCTTATCGATCCCGACATATTTACTCTCCAACGACGATCTGAACTTAAATTATGAAGTAGCAGTATTGGCTTGTTCACTTTCTATTCCCGATGTCTTTAAAGGGTAAATGCGATGGAAGAAAGAATGAAATGATCACCCAGTATTCCACTCACCACTGCATCGAGAGTTGATAACACCTTCAATGAGGGATTGCGTATGCCAAGCTCGGAGATTGAATCAGACGAAGCATAACCCAAAGTTGACTCTGATGGATCCCGCGGATTTGCCGTGAATGGTCTCTTTAATGAGACGTCCACAAAAGCCTTTGCTCATAGTTGTACAAGATGGAACGGTATATGTACTGTAAGACTGCAAGAAATACTCTGAGTAGAGGGTTGATTGCGTGAAAGATCAGACCATATCAATGGGCCGAGTACCCCCCATCGACGCAAACGGTTTGCCCTGTGACAGTAGCACTCGCATCACTCGCCAACCATATGGCAACTCCGGCAAAATCCTCGGCCTTCCCATTACGTCCAGTCATTGTCCGCGCCGCATGCGTCTCCGCCTTCTCCGTGTCCGAAAAGACCTCTTCCGTCATCGGAGTGTCCACGAGTCCCGGCGCGATGGCGTTGCACAGAACCCCGCTCGGCGACCAGGCCTCGGCTTGAGAGCGCGTAAGCGACACCAAACCGCCTTTAGCTACACCATAGGCACCGCTGTTGCCAAATGCGCGGAATGACTGCTGGCTGGCAAGATTGATAATGCGTCCGCTTCCGCGCTCTGCCATTGCCGGGCCAAACGCTTGGCCTAGGGCAAACGGGGCAGTTAGGTTTGCGGCGATGGTGTAGTCCCAGTCTCCTTGTGTTATTCGTGACAATGGCGGGCGGTGGTTGACGCCTGCTGCGTTGACGAGGATGTCTGGTATGCCGTGCGCGGACTTGATGCGAGCGCTGGCGTGGTTGAGGTCTGCTAGGTTGGCGAGATCTGCCGTGATGGATGTCGCGGGAACACCAAGTTGTGTGAGCTGGTCGACTGTCGCTGCCAGAGGTTGTGGTCTCCGCGCAATGAGTATGATTTTTGCGCCGGCTTGACCCAAGGCGAGGGCAATTTCTTTTCCGATTCCTGAGCTGCCACCAGTGACAACTGCTGTTCTGCCCGCCAGACTGAAGAGGCGGGTGAGGTAGGTCGGTAGAGTGCTGAGATTTCTCGCCATTGTCCAGAGGGTTCTGATCTTACCCGTTCAGTAAGAATAGAAATCAAAATGATAGATGCAAGAGGTATCGACTTTATGTGACAGTAAGTACGATAGATGGTCAGCCTTTACTGTGAGTCCCGGTGGATGTACATGGCGGATTCTTGAAGTGTGACTCTAAGTCAAGTGTGTGTGACTAACCGACCCTTGTAAGTCAATTCTGGGGTTAGTGCTTCGAAGCGGGAGATTTCACATGCAGCTACCGGCGTTCATAAGACACTTCGAGTGAACTAGGACGCCTGCAATACCCGATACTCCAACTTCTTAGGTGGAAATTATCGCACGTGATGGACATCAGTTCGAGGGATGATGAAGAGTAGCAGTTTCCATTACTCAAGCCCTCGACTGGCGAGGTTGGCTTGCATGCACAGGTGAGATTTGGCTGCCAGTTGTAAACCCGGCCCAACGCACGGTGGAGGCTGGGAACAGCATTCACGAATAGTATCCTAGGGAAACACTTCGCAGCAGCAAATGAGAAGGGTAACTGCATCATTGGATAAAGTCGAAGTCTCTAACCCGCCGAACAGGCATCTGCATATTTGGTTCACTTTCACAATGCAACATAATTTTCAAAGCGTAGAAGTGATCGCCCGTTAAAATATAACGCGAAGCTCCAGAAGATCCTGACTTCGCGCTAGACTACCTTAGTTCATATGACGGTTCCAAGCGCAGTGGCACCTGTCAAGCTAACTCCAATACTGGCTCAGATGCGGGGGCTGACTCAATTGCATTAGTGTGTGGCATTCCAAGGTTTCTATGATCAGTTGAATCCCCAGATGTTGACTTCAACCTGTGTACTGAGATTCACCACCCGAACACATATATCTACATGATGGCACATATAATACTTGAACGAGGAGTTTCGCAAGCACGTGTAAGATCATGTTGTGATTGTATGGAGTTTTCTTCTTGGATCTATCATACTGGATGTCTTATCCAAATCCTACTCCAATGTCATGCCCTCGAAGCATTCATCTCTCATTCGTCGTATAATCGTCAAGCATTTCCATCACTTTCCATAGAGCCACACACTACCTAGCGCCCTGAACCTAGAATGGCGGCAGACAGTTCAATGCAATGAACTGGTTTTTGGGACTGGCGTAGAAATGGAACGCAAACAGCCACAAGTATCCGATCGACTTCCCAACTCTTCCACTCATCTTATGATAGAACCGAGGGAAGTAAGTCTGAAGACCATAGAGGAAGGCCGTTTCCATGACCATCGCAATGTAGTTCAACATCCACCACCAGACCTCCACACCAACGTGACACTTGATGCCGCAGATATACTCAGTGCCAGCATGGAAGATACCGCTGAGGAAGAAGATGAGCCCATTCAGGACCCAGCGCGTCTTTCCCCGGAAAGGTCGCTGACCTACGCCAAGGGCAGTCAGGATCATCTCGCCCAAGCCGTTGGTGGTGCGGTAGATGAGTCGATCGAAGTATTTGCTCCAGAAGCGCCGAAGATTCCAGCCTTCGCGGATATCGCCGAAGACAGGAGGCCACTCTTCAGGTTCATCGATGTGAAGCGCTACGAAGAAGAGGGCGACGGTCGAGTGAATGAAGGTGTACCAGTAGAATGCGCCCCAAACGCCTTCAAAGGCGAAGTAACAGCGGATAACCACCTCTCGTAGGTCGGTCTCATTTCGAAGGAGACGGCGGAAGTAGGAACGTTTGTGGGGGGCAATGTCATCATGGGAATACCAGGCGTACGTATCCCAAACGTAGTCCTTGACACGCTCCAAGATAAAGATGAGAGCGATTTTGGCTATGGTAATCATGATCCAGCGGCTTCTTGGGCTGAGAGAGTTCCAGAAGCGAGCAAGGGCCTGGCTGATTTTGTTCCAAGCGTTATGGCCGACTCGAAGCATAAAGTCCCGGGAATTATTGATCCGTTCGAGCACATTTTTGTTGTTGTTTGCCTCAGTCGAGCTCTGATCCAAGCTTTTGTTGTTTATGGTTGCTTTCTCGGTGAACGAGTCTTCGATCGTAGCTGTAATGAATGCTTCTGCGAGCTGCCTCTTACGCTCTTCTGCTGCCTTGATCAAGTGGAGGACAGGAGCCGGACGAGTAGTGTTGACAAACCGTGCGTTCCACATGAATTTGTAGGTGGCGAGGATTCGTTGTCCCCAGGGAAGCTTCTTTTGCTCCTGCGTAACAGCGATATCCTCCCACAGCATCATAACAGCTGCACCCATGTTTTGAATGACGAGTACCTGAACAAGGGTGATTTTGACAGCGTAGAATATTGGTAGAAGGGAAATTTGTTGAATAGTAGCGGCTGCCAAGGCGAGGGATGCACCGACGAATGCTGTGCGGTATCGGCCATTGGAGTTGAAGGCGATAGCGAGGGAGGCCAAGTTGAGAATGTAGATCAGAGCTGGGTAGAGGAGTATGTCTGTCTGGATCAGATATCTCTGTGACCGGATATGGTCGAGAAAGTGCTCGACCAAAGATTCCCAGATTCCGATGGGCTCGCCGTAGATGCGATCCCAGTCTGAATCTGTCCAGTTCCATTCGGGGCCGGTGGGGTTCCACAAGCTTGCCAGTTCCTCGATAGTAGGTGGCATGATATCCATCTTCGGGGTAGAAGCTATCGTTGAATTGATACCCATGGTAAGATTCTCGTTCAGTAGTTTCCAATAAATAATGACAGAAACGTGCTTCAAGTTTTTGCTTGCAGCTAGAATTGCGTGTCCAATCCGGATGTCTCAAGGCATGAAAATGTGAATGGAGGATGGGTTGGGCATTGATGTGCCACTGATGGAGGGAGGGTGGAAGAGAGCTTCTTATAGGGACAGGAACCTTGTCCTCTTCTTTGGAATACAACAGAGTTTGGCCGTTAGACGGCTCTCCAGTGTACCTTACTCTACTGGCTGGTAGCTTTCAAACCTTCAGTGTACATGTATGGTTTGATCCTGACCTGGAGTTTTGACTGGTGAACATTCGGAAAGTTATGGACTCAAGCGTAGCTCCGATAGGATTGAACAAACTTAAAACACATCAAATCCTTTCAGCGATGTCCCTATATCTTGTAGTTTCTGTGTTTCTCGGGCACACAGGCGAGTTTTGGACAGTAGCAGGCGGAGAATTGAGAGCGAATGAGAGAGGATCGGGTCCACTACATCACTCCTTGCAACAGTAATGCTTTGAAATGGTACAAGATTGTGTGTGAAGAAGTTGAAGCATTCGAGTGACATTAGAGCACATGCTACGTACTATATCCGCCGAATCATCCAACCACACGACACAGTCTTCCATTCTCGTGAGGAAGCTTATCTTTGGTGATAACTTCCCAAAACTCACTACCGACGGCAGTAGCAGCATAAAAGACATCCTCAGGATCCCATTTACGTTTCAGTTCCAGCAAGCGAGGGTATTTGCTGTCGCCGTAGAACGACTGTTGGAAATTCGGCTCCATCCTGTCCGACTCAGCGAGGTATGAGCCAGCACCTGGAGAGACATCTCTCCACCGCTGCATATCTCCGAAGGTGAAACCTTTGCGGGCTTCTAAAATTTCCTCGGCGGTTGCGTTTACAGACCACCTCACGGACTGAAGAGCGAACAAAATGTTTTCGCGCCAGGCTGGGTTGACAGCGTTGTCTGGGTCATCGGGGCTGATGGCTTTGATGTTGAACCCAACAAAGACGTGATTCGTCTCGAGGGATGTGCGAATAGCTTCAAAGGTGGCCTGCTTCAGCTCTTCGCTTTCGAAGTTTTTGCGGGGAAAGAGACGAGAACCGCTTTGGACGTTTACCTTTTCGACCACCTCGAGCGGGAAAAAGTCTTTCCAGGCAGCATAGAAGCTTTCGTATTCAGTGATGTTGGGGTCGAACATAATCCCGAGATCGTAGAGCTTACTGAACCATGGGTCCAGCAAACTAGCCACCTCTTTGGCGGTCTTGTTGGGTGCGAAGAAGGGCGTCATCTGGAAGAGAAAATTTCCAGGGCTTGGGTTGTTATGCAACAGGAGGAAGTACGAGTACGTTCCATTGTCGGCATTGTGAATGAAAGAGTCGAAGTAGCTGCGCACACCACCCCAAAAAGTCTCGTTGGATAGACCGTCTGCTGTGGAGAACTTGAACGCCGAGGCAGTTGTAGGCATGTCCGGAAAGGCCTTGACTGTGACCGAGATTGCTACACCAAAGGTTGAGCCACCACCGCCCCGAAGCGCCCAGAATAGATCAGAATTCTGGCTGTGGTCTGCAGTGACAAGGTCTCCGTCCGCTGTCACAACCTCGAAGGCTAAGGCTTGATCTGCTCCAGTACCATATATCGAACTCAAGGGAGAATGGCCTCCGCCCTGTATGTATCCTCCCATCACCCCAACAGTCTACGAAAAGTTAGTTCTAATATCCTTCAGTATTATTCTGGTCAACGCACCTGTCCTTCGCCACCAACAACAACTCTGCCGTATTCAGACGCTACTTTGTAAATCTCAAAAGCTTGAACACCAGTGCCACATTTGAAGGCAGGACCAGAGTATCCCTCGACATCGTCGGTAACATCCTCGATGTATTCGATGCTTTTCAGGTGATGTGTCCATATACTCAATGACTCTCCACCACCCGATTTGCCTGAGAAGTCATGTCCTGTGTTTTTGACTACTAGTCTCACGTCCATCTCCTTCGCGAACTTAACGCCTTCTTGTACGTGCTTGGCGGAAGTGGCGTTAATCACGTACCACGGAAATCCACCCATGGTACAGTTGCCAGAGTCGTAAATGTTAGGTGGCAAACACGTGAGACCTTGATAGACGGGCGAGAACATTTCGATGGGGTCTTCAAGGTGTGTGTAGGAGTTCGTCCAGGTGGCCGTCATGCTGGCGCAGGCGGCCTCATCGTACTCGGCGCCACTGTAACATACTGCTGCCTGCGGTCGTGGTTTGAGGAGGCGATTGTCGACCCGTTCATTGAGAGCCGCCCAGGCTTCGTCAGAAGGCCAGGAGATGTCACCTGGGTATACTTTGCAACGAGCTGGTGCGATGTCTGCCGAAGCCACCAGAACGTACAAAAGTACCGCTGACAGTCGAAGAGCCATAATTAATTGATTGCATCAAGGATCCTTCATGTATATACGTGTCGCAGATGCCAGTCCGGAATTTTGGAAGAAGATTCAGACACCATGCCGCGGTTTTAGAAGAAAACTTCTTAATCAACCATCTTTATGGATTTTAGGAATGAAAAGTGCGGGGAGGTTTTTTTTTTGACGTTGCAGTAGGAATGGCGAACCCCTCGTCTTCGTTCCCCTGCGATGTCGAGCCAAGATGACGATCTTCACTAGAAACAGAGGGGATTTCCGTAGCATGTCAGCGTCGTACCGATTTTCCACGCTATTGACCAGCGTCAACTTGGATTCGGCTCTGAGTCTTAACTCGCCCTTGCTGATATCTCCAGGACACTCCACGTCGGCAATTGATGCACACATATCGACTTCGCAAGTCGCAGGTATCCAGGTTGACTTACGTCATGTTGCCTAAGAATAGTTATATGTCACAGTTCTCTTATGCTTTGAATACCTAGAAACAGACGGGGAACAGACGGGGGATCACACGAATTGCGAAAGACTTTATTTCCAATATGCTGAATCTACCCTAACACCGATAGACTGTCCAAAAAACACTGATAGACTGTCCAAACTCGAGAAAGATATAACTGCATTTGTTGCGTACTGGTGGTCTGATCTGGATCTTTTTGCTTTGTAATCGTTGAAAGCTGATGTTCCATTGCGATAGTAGGTACTAAGCCCCATTTCTTCTTGTGAAACTGATAACTCAAAAGTTGTGATTCGGCGTATGATGTGGTTTTCGTAGGTATGTCCGACTTGGAGTAAATTGACAACTTTGTATTTTCGTGTATGATCGCGTATGTTCGCGTATGTTCGCTCAGCTCTTATTCTAGCTGAGATCATTTCGAACCAAGAAGCTGACGTTGCACTCGTGAGATGCGGGAAAATCAAGCAGCCCGAGCAGCGCCACTAAGATCTCGGCTCATGTTTTGGCAGTTGTTTCCAATGGTATTATTTGGGCCGTTACCAAAGGCCGATGAAGATCCATTTCCGTTGTCGATGTGGTTTTGGAATCCATCCCAGGGCTGAGCTGCTTGATTCGCAATGTTGCTGGCATTCCCAGCCCCAGGTCCACTTCCTTCGCCAGCAAATTGGGAATTCGGGACATCGTTCGAGGTTTGTGTCACTTGGTTCCTCGGGATCCCTAACCAAAGAATGACCTCCCTCATACAGACCGTGCCATGGTTGCACATGAGTGACACCTTGCCTTGCATTTTCATACATGTGGACATGATTACATTCCGTGTAAAGATGTCTAGTTTTTGGACCTCTAGGTTCGTTAAGCCTGAGACATAGAGACCTATTTGCCCATGCATGGGGTTCATACTCGAATCGAGATCGGTCGCGAATCCGCTAAAAGAGGCCTGTTTGAAAATGAATCGTTTTCGAATCAAATTGGGTGGTTGTGAATTGCTGCCGTGTGAGACTACTTCGAAGAAGCGATCAGGGCGTGAAAGGTATCCCTGGAGAAAGACGGAGAAAGTATCCGTTTGAAGCGGGGCGACGGCCATGATGTTCTTTGGTAGCAAATGAGTAATAAAGTCGGTGTTATTGGAATGTTCAGATACTATGATTCGAGGAATGGTGAAAGAGATTAAGCTGCATCCGGCCAACGTTTACAATTTATAGCACCCGAGCCAAATGCCTTTTTGTGATCAGAGACGCGTTACATACCAAATAGCCTCGCTGCCTTATGTGGCAGCATGAAGTAGTGGCGGAGACAGAATCAGCGAATCGTATTCCCTACCAAGGCGCTCTGTAACCTAGATCAAGACAATGGAATTCAAGGCTGACTACTCAGAGCCATGATATGTGACACGTCCGTCCTACGCATGCTTCAAGGTGGATAAGGTGGCTGAATTCGAAAAGTCAAACTGAGCCGCAAAGGTACCCTCAATTATGGTCAGATCACGCATGTAGCAATTCTCAGTAGTAGATAGACGTGTGCAGAACGGATGAGGGGCTTTCTTCGCCAGCAGTTCAGCACTGAAATGAAGAGAGTCGTAATATGTGCTGAAAGCCTGTGATATTTGGAGATGAAGCACGATCACGAGTTCATGGCAGAAATCTGAGCCAAATGTTACTGAAGCTTGCCCCATATTACTTTCCCGTATGCGCGTAGCCACACCCGAGGGATGGATGCATCATGTAGCCGGTTTTTTGGTAAATGGAAACTTCCATGAAATTAATTCTGGAAGCCACTTCATCAGCATGTAAACTTCCCATCTGAGAAGTAGTGACTGTGACTGTGATTGCCGACTTTGAGCGATCTTTGCTACTCATGACCTATCACTGCAGCATTCTCCCAGAAGGAATACTCCGGGATCAACCTGATTAGTGATCATATAGGCGATCCAGTGGAATTTGGCATCATGTACTAAGTCTAAGGACTTGCTTTTTGAAGTACCTTGGGCGTTTCTTTCCTCTCGTTGTTGTGCCGAGCCCGCCGTTTTTCTTCTAAGAGGGCATTCCTTCTTACTTCCAATTGCATCTGTGCGTTTTAAGTTGGAGAGAGTACAGCGATACCCTGAGGAATCTCTGCATTCCGCCTGTGATAAAGAGACTAAGTCTCATTGTTTGCCCTCGCTAGCTTCAATCACCGCTTCCGTAGTCTCAAGGTCTCATTAAGTTATCTCTGCCCCTTCCTTTAGCGGCATCAGCCAAGTAACATAGCCACGACGGTGATGATCCTAAGAAATACAATGGAACTTGAGTCGGATCATAAAATCTCAGCTCTTAAGGCAAGCGTGGGATCATGCCTTCAACAATTCCTCCAGCCTTCGCACCGCATGAGCTTCTCAACTCAGGTCCTCATGAATCTGCTTCTGGGCTACGGTAACATGCTATAGGCGTCTTGAATTCTATTTGTCTGGGTGTTAACTGTACAATATTCTTCGCAGTACTTTTTCGGAAAGAAGGACACTGGCCGGAATAGAGCAGGCACGGGAGTATCGTCATTTGGCATGTCTAGATATCACAAAGAGTGAGCTCAAGCTCAAGCTAAGGTAGTTGGCTTTACTAAGGTAAGTCAACGGTGTGCAGCCTTTCTACCAAAAGATGCATTCTAGGTAAGTTGCATTGGCATGATTGCTTGGGAGGATTATTAGGAGGTCTCTGTTCCTGTGATGTCTGACCCCTTGGTTGCTGGGATGATGAAGTATTACTGAGCTAGTAGTAATTGTATTGTCTAGTCGTAAACTCACCCAATAGTATCTCCCTAAGGCTACGTGGGAGTTTAGATGATGTGAGGTCCTGTAGATGCTAGCGCCGGATAGTAGAGGGATGCACCCTGAAGAACTAGACCGCGTCGACCCGGCGCGCTTCGAGCCGAATCAGAGTGGGACTGAGTAGTAGCAAGGACCTCGACATGTATAACTCTGGAATCTTGTTGTGCCAGAACCCTACTGGAGCAATCATCCTCAGAATCATGATATGTGATTGCTGACGGAAACGGAACCCCAAAAGTGAAATCAAACTTTAGACATACCGTTGAGACTACCACTGATTCGGCGTTCAATTCGAGCCTTTGAAATCTACTGACTTTTGATCCGGAATCCAACGCTTAGTGGACCAATGTGACCTCGCTCACTGCCGCCTTTGTTTCGGCGAGGCAGGCTCTTAGTTCCGATGCCCGTACCGTCTCCTGGTTGGGATTATGAAACAGAGTACCCAGTGGAATTATCATCGTGAATTCTTTCAAAGAACGCGTATGGAGTCTCCTACAAGTATTGGCAATAGGTGAAAGTAGAACTTCTGCCTGCTGCCCTTGTCTAAGTGTAGGATTGGCAGCAGCGCCCTTGGCGTCGCGATGCCAAATTGCCGGGCCGCAGCAGGACGAACAATGCCCTGATCGATCCCCGATGCGGTTCTTATGTGAATAAGCTAGCGCTCATGGTAATTAGGCCGCGAACCACAATCCTCGGATGCGATTTCCGCCGACCAAGGAGCTTTAGTACTCTGGAACTTAGGTATTCTTTTGAAGGCCTTTCGGCCGGAAGAGTCTCTAGCTCACGTGGGTCCGAACCGACACAGCCGCCGGACTCTCAGCCCTGACGCCACGAACATGAGCCAGACCTCATTCTGGCCGGAACGTCGATAGCGCTTTGGCCAACATCGACCGATGCCCCACTGCATTGGATTCACAAATTGAGCAAAGGAGAGGAGGCTATAATGCCATAGTGTCTGGTGAGGCTGGCTTGTGGTGCTGTCAGAATGGCCCGATGACCTGAACGCCGCGTGGCAGTCGGAGTCCGTGAGGCAAAGGCATCTGGGTGGCGGCTTACTATCGGTATGCGTGTTCGTTGTTGTGCGAGACATCATGAAACGAGACAAGATGTTGGCAACAGCCGGATGCGGCCGTGATCCTAAGCCCAAGGACTCGATAAATCGTGAAGAGGGTAATTACCGTTGTTAAGTCAGCTATTACGGGCTTCACTGTTCATCGGTTGTGTTGAAGGCATTCCGTCAGCATGGTTTCATGCACCATCCCATCCACACAAACGTAATCTTCTGTGCTTGACACATTTGAGATCTTTTGACTTCATTACCAAGACTCTGAAAAGGCGCTTCTCAGGGATGAATACGGTGGCTTTTGCCTGTCATATGGAATGCCGGCGCCAGGACACCACGCTCGTAGAGGCAGAAAGTGGCACCGGCAAAGGCTGAGCCACGCCAACATGATCGATTATCGAAGTCTAAGCATAAACTCATTCGATGTGTCGGTGAACCCAGTTCGACTCATGCGTCCTCTTGTAAACAATTCACGGGGCGCTTCCCGATGCCAAACCGTTGTCGAAGGAGGTCTATGCTGCCTCCCGACGCAAGATGATCTCGATTTCTCAAAGAAACTGTGGCTGATTCCCTGCCTTAAATGGTCTCACTGTTCGAGGAGTTATACTACATCTGACTCGGAGGAATTCCAGATTCTTGGAATCGGACCAGTTCTCTATGTCGCTAAAGTTATCGCTGGACCCGAGTCAACGGTGCCGGAACTACGGTGGCTTGCGCAGAGGCCATGCGGAAGCGAGCTGGTTGAAGCGAAGCGGCACGCTTAGCTAGGACTGGCATTTTCTCCGTGGCAGAGGTCAGAATTAGCAGATGTTATGCGTTTCCTTTGGTACGAAAAGGTGATTGTTTCATGCGATAGTTGACAAAGTGAGAGTCAAGTTACCATGAGTGGAACATCAATTGGAACAGCGCCCAATTCTTGATATAGCGCCCAATCCTTGATAATGTCCAGGCCAAGTTCACCAGCTCAGTGCCAGCGTTACGCAGCTTGCTTCTTCCGGCGGCCAAAGCTTTCTGATCTGGCCAGATCTGCCAATGGGCGTCGATCATCCCGCGGCCCCTCAGCATGTCTCACCAAGGGAGTCTTGTCCATCAACGAAGCAAAAGCCTCCTAAGACCATTTGGGCCGACAATGAAAGAAAAAGGCAAGTCCGGGAAGCCGGTAGGTAGGTAATAAAGAAGCAAGGTCCGGATGCGATTGAAGAGTAAGCACGGAGACAATCATCACTGATCCAGTGGTCCCCACTCGAGCTAACCGTAGATCCTGAACGGAGGGCTCTTAGAAAGACCCCGGACTGCCTTGGCCCCAGACGGTCCGACGCCGCGGCTGTCCGAGCGAACCCTCCAGGCTCGACTGGCCCGATGCTGATTCGCCAATTCCCCTCGTTTGGACGTGATGGTCCTGCAGGGGAGCCGATGCAACGAACAAGACTGGTGTCTTGTGTGTCTTGTTCGTCCCTTCACCTGTTTCCCACCCCTCAAAACATGGTAGAAGTCCAAGAAAGGAAGGCCAGTCGGTAGGCGAAGTCCCCGACATGTTGCGCCTCTGCGATGAAAGATAGGGCGACGGCTGTTCATGTTGCATTTGCCTTCCAGGAAGGGCCAAGGATTCCGTCCGCACAACCCCTTTGTGATTTATGATGATGTTATGAGTGTTTGCTTGTCACTTTATCATCTAAGCGAAGAAATACGACTCCGAAAGGAGACGGGGAAGAAATGGGAATGGGGTAAAAACGCACGACATTGCAAACATGTCTAAGTCTGTCTGCATGCTGCACGCTCGGGGTCACTCGAAAAAACGTCTAACGCTGCAGAAGGAAAAGAGAAGCAACGGTAAGCGGCATGGAAGAAAAAGAAACGAGCGCGCAGAAGTAAACATCAAGATACATCCACAGTGAGCAGCAATTTTGGGTTGGCCGAAAATTACGTATCTTTGCCATTTATTTTTAATTGTCCAGGGCGTTTCTTATTGATCTGTTCGCACTTTGATCGGCTGATCGGCTTGTGGAGTCTCTCATCTGGGTGTTGGGGAACTGAATCGAGTCTCCAATCCAAGGGTGAGATTTGCGAGGAGCAGGAAATAGGGAGAGGGAGAGGGAGAGATTCGACGAGGACAAGACCACCTCAGCTCGCACACACATGTACACCTGCATGTACTTACGCGGAGAGGCACTGAACGACCGTGACAACTTACCATAGAGTGAGTGGCAAGGAAGCCTTGAACCTTGAGGCCTTCGTCCCAATGCCAGCCATGAGCGATCTTGACCGTCTTTGTCCACGCAAAACGCCAGTGCTATCTCCATCAGGTGAAACAAGTTCGCCAGCAACAAAAAGGCACTTGGTTAGCCGTGTACCCCAACCCGTTTCCGGAATGCCCATACCACGTGTGCAGGGGCCCTGGTGCTGACGGCTTTCTTGAGGTACCGGACTGCAGGGTGTGGCGCGCACCACTTTCTGGAGCCACTCAAACACCCCCAGTCGGGTTCATCTCGAGAACGGCTCGACGGACGGCTTGACTTTGGGAACCATTTATCATTGCTGCCTCTCCCCCCTTCGCTCTGGACCAACCTGCCCACCCCCTCTAGGTTGTCTCCATTTTATCCCGAATGAATTGTCTTATTTGACCATCCGCCGACTCTTGCTGGCCAACGGCTGAGAACTCCGATCCGAAATCTACCCGCGAGCTGGACTTCGACCTACGGAATTCGAAGTCTCCCCCCCGAGTATGCAAACGGCAACGGCCCCGATCTCGAGAACCCTGGTAGAAAATGGGCGGCTCCATACTTGAATTACTCGGCAAAGCCGACAACCTCAAAGACCCTGTGCCGGTTCTCAACCAACGACCTGCGGTACTGGCTATGGTCGTTTCCTTTCTGGTACTTGATGCTCATGAACCACATCAAGACAATTTCAGCTTCTAACCATAACCACAGCTTGTCGCCTGGATATGCGGTGCCTTTCGACTCTATGTCCGCTTATTTATTGCTCGGTGTCCGGGATGGGATGACTTCTTCGTTGTGTTATCTTTGGTATGTGGCTATCAGGCAATAGTTTCACATCACTTTCAATGTCTAACATTTGCCCGCAGCTCACGAGCCTGCTTTTATCTATAGCGACGTGCGTGGGTAAGTGTCTTCATTCTATGGCGCCTACGAAAGAGAGGTCCTCTAACTCTTTGATGCAGCCACGGATTATGGACTGGGCAAGCATTTCCTATTACTCGGAGTTAACGGCATGCAAAACTTCATCAAAGCCTTCTATGTCTGCAACGGCGCATATCCAATGGCGACAGCCCTAATCAAATTGGCCTTACTTTTCCAATATCTACGGATGTTTGAACGCAACACAAAGTCTCGATTCGTTACCATTATCGTCATTTACATCACCGCTCTATGGGGTGTAGCTTACTCCTTCATCGCTTGGATCCCCTGCCTTCCCGTGTCGGCCTTTTGGGACCTTTCATCGACTACGGACACTCGATGGGCATTTGGCTCCCGCGACCCCATCATCTTTGCGAAAAGCTTTGAAAGCCACGTCGGAATGAATGTTGCACTGGACCTGATTGTATTTGCGATACCTATTCCCTTGTTCCTGGAGGCTGGAACTCGGACGAAGTCGCGCTTGGGCCTACTTGGTCTGTTCACCATGGGTGTTCTGTAAGTTTCCACGCCTCAAACTTCTTCTCAAAGCGAACACGTCCCGTCTGACTCGATTTCGCTAGTGTGAACGTTCTTGGAATCTTCCGTCTCATCGGCATTTCACACTCGAGAGCGGGCACTTATCCGACCCTTGATCCCAGCTGGTACGGCTGCGTGCCCATCGTTCTCGCTGCCGTTGAGATCAACTTGGCGACGATTTGCGCCTCGTTACCCGTCTTCTGGCCCACCCTACAGAGTAGTATCGGCCAGATCTTCATTACAAAAGAGATCGAGATCACATCGGAGATACGCCGTCTCAGTAGTATCCGTGACGAGGAGGCCACCGCTGAGCTATGCGACTTTTCATCACCACAAAAGCCGAGCAAGACGTATGGAGGAGTCGAAGTAAATGAGAGGTGGTGTATTAATGAGTCCCCGTTGACGTCAACAAAAGTTGAGGTCGAATCAAGGGGACTTCACACAAAACCGAGCGAAATGTCGCTATTTTCAGAAGGGTTCAAGAGGATAGCGGACGATCAGGAGTCACATGATCGTCTCGTCCCGTCCCCATCACGCAGTCGATTGAGACCATGATTAATAAAAGTTCCGTTTCACCTTCATGAATTACTTGGCGATGTATCTACATCGGATCGATGATTCTTTGAGCACGTATTATCTTTGAAGTACGTAATGTAAGTCATAGCTTACAATGGAGTGTGATAATGAGTGCCTCATCCCCTCACCCACACAAAATCTGGCAGTGGTATGAGATTCAATTATCGCTCGAGAACTCCTCAGTCAACATCGCCGCAATATTGCCGTCTTCAGCGACTTGAAATCGCAAGCTAGGACAAATGGGGATGTCTCCGATGTTAGTTCAGTAGTGGAACTTTATCCGAGCACATCGACACCGTGGCTGTCTTGGTCTTTTGTCTGCCAGACCCTAAACCGCAATAGCCCGCGCCTCAACTTGTGCACGGATTCTTCTCCCAGACCAGCGGCGGCTCAACCTAAATTCGACACACTAAGACAGCGGCCGATGTAGCTCATCAGTATTGGGCGGCTATTGGTCGCTGTACGATGGATTCGTATAATCGGATGCTGCGACTAGAGCGCAGACGCCGTTCTAACACACTAGACTGAGATGGAATAGTAAATATCCCAAACTACCTATACTCGTAGCAAAACGGACCACCGTGGATGTCCATCACGTCGCTAATGGGGATATCCTGTCCAAAGTTGGGGTACTTGAGAAGGTACTGCAACGTAATGTTCTCGTATGGCACGTCACCGAAGAAGTTGAACGGGTACGCGAACATGGTGTCCGGGCCACCGATAGCGGTTTTGCGCGCGGGCCAGTCTACGACCATCGTTAGCAAGATCGAGCCTACGACTTGTTTTGACATGACATTTTCTTATGCTGGGGAAAACGGGGCGCCTAGCCGCTTGCCCAAGTGTCTTGGTCTGTTCACAAGTGGCACTGAAACGAAAGGCAAGTTCGTGAGCAGAAAAAAAAAAAGCCTACCTCTTTGCTGCCAGTCGTTCCAGATCTTGTCCAGTGCGCCGTGGACAAAGTAGAAGAGTGGATCGCCGGGGGAGGAGTACATGTCCGCATTCTGGTCCCGGCCATTAGCTTCCTCAGATTTCACAACTTCACAACTGATAAAGTAAAGAACCAAAAAGGGCCGAATAATGAGAAAGCATCATGGTCTGATGACACGTACCTCGCCAACAGCACCGCCGATGCCAAGATGCATGCCCGCGTGGAGAGTCAGGCCGTCAAATTCAAAACTGTAGCCCTGAATATGAGAGTTGAACTCGCCATAGGTCGACGCAGAGAGCGCACGGTCAATGATTTCGTCTCTCAGGGCACTGGCAACGAGGGTGGGACTGAAATCTCGACGCAGGCAATGGGGTTGCGGTTCAACTGAGGAGCCTAGGGCCGGGATGAAAAGTTAGTAGATGCAGGGCAAGGACAAAAGCCTTGTGGTTTGCGGAAATTCCCAACGCACCGAGACCCATGGGAACCGTGAGGTTCGCAAATGGACCCTCCTGGACGCACCCTCCTCCACTCCTTCCCGGAATTTCCGTGGGGGTCTTGACCGGGAACTCCTCATCATCACTGATATCCTCGATATACGGTCCGTTACCCCCGAAGCCGTGTGTATTGTCGAAGATTGGCGACTTGACGAAACTTTCCGCAGTGTTGTCAAGACTCAAGTCCCAGTAAGGTAGCGTTCCTTGGTAAGAGCACTTGTTCCTCAGCTCGGATTCGAAGAGAAATATCATCCACCGATGCCAGCTACAGTTGATGCGTTTAGAAAAACGATGGAATCAAGGTTAGAGTTATTTCTTACGGGAGGAAAGGTCCCTGTAGCAACATCAGCAAATTGACACTACCCGCTAAACTTTGGGACGCAGATTGGATTAACTCACGTTGAAGTGCACCTGTTCTGTGACATAGATGTGCATCCCCTGGAAGTCATCGTATCGGGTCTTCGCACCAGGCCATAGATCATTGCCTTCCGACGGCAGGGACATCAAGCATTTGATAGCATCGATATAGCTTGACCTCTGTTCCAATGATAGTTGCCGCCATTCGTATCGGATCAGAGGGTTCCGACAGCACCCGGGGCTGGTGTGATTTGATGGGGCACCAGCGACGGTATGGACGCCCGCCAGGCTAAGAATGGCCGGAGCGACAGTCGCGAAGAGACGCATGATAATTTAAGAGAGGATGTCCAAAGATGAGAACACTAGCATGGTCCTAAGAACGAAAGGAATAAACTGAACTCAGGTCTCTACTTTTGTAAGGCGCTAGAAGTAGATCGATTTATATTTAAGGGAAACTAATATATTTTTAAGGTTAGTACGCGCTTACGGATAATATATATTCTTAGTCTACTTAGAGGAAACGAGATAAATAGACTACTTTTTAAGTATCCCGATGCATCTTCGCGGCATAACTAGGCCCTTATACTAGAACGGCTAATTTTTTTTTTTAGGACTTTCTGTTAGTATTAAGATGTAGGTTAGTTACGATGCGTCTTTAAATTTAAGAAGCCCTGCCTCCGGATGTGCGTTCCGTAGGAGAACGCGTATCCTTCGGCTGGGGCTCTGTTAGTCACTGACGGTCGATGGTTCGATCGGATGATGTTGTGGAGGTTACCTCGAGACCCGCTCCTAATGCCTGTTTCCCAACGCTTCCGACCCTTGCTGTTAAGATTTTTCCAGGAACCCTGCTCACCGAAGGCGTGTCCGATCACACTAGCTCTGAACTATCATCGACTGCCCCCATCAAGGGTAGAGAGATGAGTTGCGGAAGTTTGAAGAAGATTAGAGAAATGAAGTTCACCTCAGGTAAACGGTGGTGGGGAGCTCAAGACTCATGATTGTGGTTTAGACTTTGATGAATGCTGCAACTTCAAATTTGGCACAACTCAGGTACCCAGCAGGCCAGCCCTGGTTCATTCACTAAAATCTCAGGATCAGGCCAACGTAGCTCATAAGTAAGAGTTCGAAAAATAATGAAAGGGGAGCTTTGGATACTTTGGGGCTTATCTTGTCTGGACGCCGAAAAGTCCAGTGATGATAAAGGGCGGCTCAGCTTGAGTGAGTTCTCTTTCCTTGAAGGCGTGGGAGGCGCTTGGAGCCCTCAGCCAACATCGTGCCAGGGGTCCCGGGAGCTTCGTTCCTATGGGGCGATGGAACCTCATTTCAAAGTAACGAGGCTAATTTGACTCTATGCCAAGACAGACATGCTCAGCACAGACAGCGCATCGTGGGGAGAAAGTTTCTGGATCGGTCTTGCGACTTCACTTCTCGAAACGTTACATCTTTGCAGTTTTTTGCCTACTGTTGGACCAGGTCGGGCAAGCCTTCGTGGAAGCCCAGCAGTTGGCTGGTGCCATGTTGATTGCGACTCTAAGGTCTTAAACCTGCGGTGGTGTCCATGCCCGACCGTGGGGCAGAACTGGTCGATTGCCCCAAAGTCAAGAACTAGATGAAGCCTTGGCATAAGCATAATCGGCCTTCTAGGGAAAGGATTCATCATTGCCAGTCGACAAAATCCGATAGCTTGGGCCGTTTGATTGCACTTCACTACAGAGCTTCCTCTTGTGTCAAGCATGTTGTCATTCCCACATAATAAGATGAGGTTCGAGGCGCTCTCATCCTCGAGGATCAAAAGGGGTGACAAACACAATCACCGTTGCGAGAATGGTATATGTATTGTCAGGCCCGACGTAGTATCCGACTTCGATACTTCTAACACTATGTAACAAGGGAATGATTTTATCACACTACCTTCTAAGTACTTTGTTATCGAAGAAAGTAAATTCTTTATAAATTATAAATACGAGAATATAGTTTTAATAAGATAATATAGTACCTACTTATTACTTAAATTAATATATAATTTAAAAATATAGAAGTTTGTATACTTAATTAAGTTATAAAAGATAAAACAATAAACTTCTTAATTATATAATATATTTATTTTAATAAAGTTTAATCCTTTATATAGCCTTTTTATAACTATAATTATACTATCTTTTTATAGTTTAATTATAAGCGTAAAGTCGGCTTTTTTTTAACTATATAAAATATATTAATTACTTTATTATTAATAACAAATTACTATATTAATACTATTCATTAAAGCCTTTCTTAACGTCTTAATAATAATAAGAGCATTAATATATTTTACTTTCCGCTTTTTTTTCTTTTTAATTAATAGCTTTATCTTTATTATTTATTTATATTACTATAATATTTTAATTAAAAGTAATTTTTTACCTTTCGCTATATAGTTAAAGGGGCTCCCTTAGCTTTTCTTTTTTTTATTAAATAAAAATCTTTTTATTTAAATCGGTATAGTAAAGTTATATTATTATAATTAATATTTTTAATAGTTAGTCCCGATTTTTAGTAACGATATATAATCGCTTATTAATAGATATTAATTTATATAGTTTTAATTATTATTTAGTAATCTCTTTTTATACTTTTATATTTAAATTTAATAATATATTAAAGTTAGGGTTAACGTTAGGCCTACTATAGGTTATAATAGCTTTATTAATTTACTTTTTTATATTTATTTTTTAAAAAGCCTGTATTATTTTATTAATTATTTAAATATATTATACTATATTTAATAACAATAGCGAGGCTATTATTATTTACAAATAAGCTCTAAATATTAAAAATATTAAAACGAGCCCTTTAAGTCCTATAATATTATTATAGTATTTAAATACTATTTATAAATACTCTTTATTTATTAAATTGGGGCTCTCGTTTTATATAATTTTAAATACTCTTTTTAATTATTAATATACCCTTTTTACTTTATTAATATTATAATATACTTTAATAAATATAATTTTTAATTAAATACTATAAATAATAATACTATCCCTAAATTCCGTAAACTTAAAGTTAACATTAATATTGGTTTTAATATTATTAAAAAGACTTTAATATATATCGATCTAACTACCCCCTTAATAAAGTAATTCGCCGGGGCCGTACTATATATTATATATTAAAAAAAACTAGGTATATTGTATTCTAAACTTAATTACTAACTAAAACTATAATAATAATTAACTAACTTAACTATTCTTTTCTTTTTATTAATAGCTCCTAACCTTTTATTATTTCTAGCCGTTTAAAGAGCAAGCTTTATTTATTTTAATATATATAAAACCTTTTAATACTAGCCTATATAAATAGCTAAGTCTAATATAATCTCTTTTTTTATATAAATATTATTATTATTTAGGGGGGCTTATAAGAGCCGTTTTAAGTATTAGTTTATTATTTTAACCCTATATACTTTTAGTTTATTTATTTTAATTATTATAGTTAAGCTAATATTAATATATTAAATCTTAATATTAATATTAGCCCGGCCGTTTATAATATTTATATTATTACTTAGCTAAATTTTATATTATTAAAAAGTATTTTATTATTTTTTAAGTATATTTACGTTAATTATAATAATTATAGCGTCGAGATAGTTAAAGAAGGGGCCTAGTTTAAAGGAGGTAGACTTATTAAAGGGCATTATTAAAGAGTCCTAACCCGCTAATTACTAACTATATATTAAATAGTTCTTATTAATATAGTTTAATTAACTAGACTTTTAACTAGTTCTAACTAATTATCTAACTAGTTACTTAGCTAATAGTTTATATATTAATAAGTTTATTTAATAGATTTTTTTTATTATAGGTTTTTATATTTATTTACGTACTATCTCTTCTGCTTAGCTAATCGCGCGTACGCTTATATAATATTAGTAAATTTCTAAATAAGTAAGCCCTAGATTAACCTTTTATATATTAGTTTTTTTATTATATAATTACTTTATATCTATATCTAAGTAATAGTATTTAAACTAACCGGTTCGGCTTTATTTAATAAACTAACTATAATAAATTATTATATTATTAATTTAATTACGTAATTAATTACGTAATTCCGGTATATAATATAGAATTTATAATATATATATATATAAAGTAATAAATTAATATTACTTTAATTAGCCGTATATAGCCGCCCCTACTAAGGGGTTATAGGGTACGTTTTATTAATATTACGTAGTCGCTAGTTATATAAGCCGAAAAACGTTAATTACGGGCGGATTTAAACTACCTTCTTTTAGAATCGCGCTAAAAATTAAGCAAGATGCTTAGACTCCCTAGGCTTATATTACTAAACTACGTAGCTATTTAATAAGTTTATTTAATAGTTTACTTAGTTTAAATAAAAAAGCTTATAAGTAATATAAA